CACCACAACAATCATCCACTCTGTGCACAGTGCCTCGTATTCCTCTAGGACCAAACTCACTGGAAGATGTTGACCACCTGAGTATATACTTACTGTAGGTAGGTCAGATGTGCTTTTCCACAGCCCAGCTGTGCATGGCAATATTTCAAATATGGTTCAATACCTCATGCCAATATATATAGAAGGGAGCAAGCAAAAAACATCTGCACAGTATAAAACTGTGTATAGAAAAATATATAACAATTACAAGAAAATTATATTCAGATTGTTTGGTGCCCAACCCGGCACCCTGGAATCATCTACCAATATGTGTAATGGATCTCTGTTACTCCAACCAACATGGGATCTAGCTCAAAATGCAAGAAAAAATGCAAGAAATGTAAAAACCTGGATTGCATAAGTCCAAAAGCATACATTTCTAAATAACTTTTTAGAAATATGTTGGTGATAAGAGATAATTGTAAACTGTGAGATTAGTCTGGAAACATATAATTTAGGCTATGTTTTTGTTAATGCATAATATATTTTGCATTGCTAAAGTATTGTTTCACTATCTGGTGTTGATCCTTTTATCGAATAATGGAAATCTGCTATATATTTATCATTATTTTTCTTTTTTTCCAAAGAAATTAGCTGTTGGTAGTTCATTTTGAAAATGTCTTTATAGTAAAAGATTGTTTCAGCTATTTGACAGAGTGCCCTCTGTGTAAACGATATCAGTGGCCTCAGGCTCTCAAATCACAAATTTGCAGCATGCTAAAAACATCTTTTCATCACTCTGAATTGCACAGCTGTAAGGATTCATTAAGCAGACACATAAGAGATTATCATAAGTGAAACTGGAATCTTCATTCTGGATGAAAAACTGACCTGTTTATTTCCAACATCAACTGGGAAAATGGACTTTCATTAGAATCTGTGCCAGATGCATCATAAAATGGATTTCGAGTAATCTATCTGATATACGGTATAAAGGTACCTGCAGACAGCAGATGATGGACTCCCAATCATGACAGATTTTGGAAAAAAAAAATATAATCTTCATGTCAATATTGCCTTCACACCTCACCAGACTCCCCCAGCCATGAGTCTATTGTTCCTCTGTGATCCAAGAAACAGTGAGCGTTCCTTCAAATCTTTTCAGCAAAAAATGTAATTTGTTAAGATACTTGAACACACTTAAGGTGTAGCTTTCACAGTAGTCTATTTGTATTCAAAAATTGTTTGCAATGCAGAAATATAAACATGTGACAGGACTTGTAAAGAATTTACGTATTCTTAACAATCATTTACAAAATGTATTCTCACAAAAAACCCTCTTTAGCTATTGGCACTGTGGGGCAATTTGTCCACAAAATCACAGCAGAAGCACTGCAGCTGTGTTTCTCTCAGCAGACAAGCCCACCCTCCAAACGCATCCTATATTATCTGCTCCGTGTTTACATTAGAGATTAGAAGGTTAGTTTTGTAAGAAACTTTAAGGATGGTTTGTTTTGCAGTGCCTTCAGTTACAGGTCATCCTATTTTGTGCATGTTAATAATATGCACTTGAAAGTCTATAGCCTGACCACAGGCTCACTTTAAGGAGCTTACCTTTTTGTCTAATTTTGTCAAAATCTCAGCCACTTTTACAGCAGCTTGTAAATAATTGACAAGAAAAGACAAAACCATATACTTAGATCCCACATGGAAGAAAAATATATTTGAAATATATTTTAAAAATATGCTTCCCTATGTGCTATATATATATATGGAATGCTACAATTGTGGCCATATACAATATTTCTAAATATATTTCAATATATATATATATATATATATCATGTTGAAATGTGTTTTTATTACAAAATTATTATTATTATTATTATTATAAAGGATTTATATAGCGCCAACAGTTTGCTCAGCGCTTCACAATATAACGGGAGACAATATAGTAACAATACAGTTCAATACAAGAGGGATTTGAGGGCCCTGCTCCTTGGAGCTTACAATCTAGGATATATGAAACATTTAAAAAAAAAAAAAATTTCAAATATACTGTATGTCTATTACATATAAACGGTAATTTTAACATATATTTTAAAATATATTTCAAACATATTTTTCTTCCATATGGGATAAAACTGCATAGATTAAAAATACATTTTTACTTCCTCATGAGGAAGTCAAGGAAGTGACGAAACGCGTCAAGGGATGTGACGTTGGACGTTGCCTGAGAAACCGAAAGTAGCGGAGCGGCCGTTTTGAGTGTGGTATTACTGTTTGGCATTCCTGGAAGCTGTTCGAGGTGGAGTCATGGGATTTTTTATGCAATTTTAATGGCATTTTATGTAAGCATATTTATATTAAAGCGCCGATCTGTTTATCTGAAACATACTGCACTATATGGCTTTATTTTCTCTCTATGAATGGTTTGGAGTATAAGGAGGCAAGAGTACTGGAAAGAGTATTGAGGGATCAGAAGGTATCTATAAGGTTCCGGTTGATCCATATCCTCCTCTGGATTTTTTTTAAAAGGCTGGCTTACTATTTATTGGGGTAAGGTAATGCAATTCAACCACTTAGATGTGTACACTGAGTATTCATGGAGAAGCATATATATAACTATTACACAGAGAGTTTCACTATCACGTGTTTTCAGGGTTTATGCGTTTTGCACGAAAATAATGAGGAATTTTTGGGAATAATTATTTTGGTGATTATTAGAGATGAGCGAATCGAACCAGGCGAACCGGAATTCGAGTCGAATTTCAGGAAATATTCGATTCGCGTCGAATCCAAAATTTTGCCTACTTCGGGTGCGCGAATCGAATATTTCCCGATCAGCCGGCAAAAGTGTCCCTGCAGTGAGCTCCGCTATTTCTGACAGTTCTCTGACAGAAGGAACACATGTTTAGCGGTTGAAACATTGTATCTATTAGTTTCCATTTAGGATACAGATGTTTCAACTGCTGTACATGTGAAGAAGCTGTCAGAGAACTGTCAGAAATAGAGGAACTCTGCACATACACTTTTTGCCGGCTTGGAATTATTCTTATTTTCATCCTACTTCTTCTTCTTCTTCTTCTTCATCCTCATCCTCATCCTCAGAAGAAGAGGATGAGGATGATGAGAAGAAGAAGAAGAAGAAGAAGTAGGATGAAAATAAGAATAATTCCAAGCCGGCAAAAAGTGTATGTGCAGAGTTCCTCTATTTCTGACAGTTCTCTGACAGCTTCTTCACATGTACAGCGGTTGAAACATTGTATCCTAAATGGAAACTAATAGATACAATTTGTATCTATTAGTTTCCATTTAGGATACAGATGTTTCAACCGCTGTACATGTGAAGAAGCTGTCAGAGAAGTGTCAGAAATAGAGGAACTCTGCACATACACTTTTTGCCGGCTTGGAATTATTCTTATTTTCATCCTACTTCTTCTTCTTCTTCTTCTTCATCCTCATCCTCTTCTTCTTCTTCTGAGGATGAAGAAGAAGAAGAAGAAGTAGGATGAAAATAAGAATAATTCCAAGCCGGCAAAAAGTGTATGTTCCATAACTGTCAGAAATAGACTATTTATGACAGTTCTGGGACATTCACTCCATACAGCGGTTGAAACCGCTGTATGGAGGGAATGTCATAGAACTGTCAGAAATAGACTATTTATGACAGTTCTGGGACATTCACTCCATACAGCGGTTGAAACCGCTGTATGGAGGGAATGTCATAGAACTGTCAGAAATAGACTATTTATGACAGTTCTGGGACACTCACTCCATACAGCGGTTGAAACATTGTATCTATTTGTTTCCATAAATGGATCCATTTATGGAAACAAATAGATACAATGTTTCAACCGCTGTATGGAGTGAGTGTCCCAGAACTGTTAGAAATAGTCTATTTCTGACAGTTCTATGACATTCCCTCCATACAGCGGTTGAAACCGCTGTATGGAGTGAATGTCCCATAACTGTCAGAAATAGACTATTTATGACAGTTCTGGGACATTCACTCCATACAGCGGTTGAAACATTGTATCTATTTGTTTCCATTTTTTTTCATCTCCAAGGGCATTTAAATTAAAGGTACAGTGTTCTGCACTAATTTAAAGGCTCTCTGAAGCCTAGAAACCCTTTTAATAAGTTAAATTCTTAGCGAATTAATTCGCATCGAATCGAATTTCATACTGGAATTCGCCGAATCAGCCGAATCGAATTTTTGAGAAATTCGCTCATCTCTAGTGATTATCAATGAATTTATTAATTATTTTTGTGAGCATAATACACTATTGAGTTTTCTTTTATTTTGAGGTACACAGCATTTACTGGATTCATTTGCCAATTTTTTTTTTTCAGAGATTGGAAGAAAGATTTATTGACTTTAATTTTGGGTTTTCACATAACAATTGTATGGACACTAATAAAGTTTATCACTATTTATGATTATAAATAGAGATGAGCGAATTATTCAAAAATTTGATTCGGCTGATTCGCCGAATTTGCGGAATAAATTTGATTCGATGCGAATTTATTCGCTGCGAATTTAACTTATTAAAAGGGTTTCTAGGCTTCAGAGAGCCTTTATATTAGTGCAGAACACTGTACCTTTAATTTAAATGCCCTTGGAGTCTGCTGGGGAAGAGAAATAATACTGTCAGTCAGTATGACATGCAGATGAGTACCGTCGATCTTAGAATCACCGCACACTTCACTCATTTGGGCAGTCACGGGGCCAAAACCAGAGTGTGGAGCCACAGTGTGGCGGTGGAGGCAGCAGCAATGGGAGGCCATACAGCACCCTATGACAAAATGGAACCCACCAGCAGTGTGAGGAGACCTGAAAGTGGCACATGGCAGAGTGTGGCGATGGAGACAGCAGCAATGGGAGGCCGTACAGGGACCCATGACACACTCTGGACCTGGCAGCAGCATGAGGAGGCGGTACAGGGGCCCATGGCAGAGTGGCGAAGCGTAAGCAGCTTAAATTGAAGGCCATACAGAGGCCTATGTTAAAAAGTCCCCCCAGCAGCAGTGTGGGGAGACGACTATCAAGAGTCCAATGGCAGAGTGGCGGAGCAGAAGCAGCTTCAATTGAAGAAGAGGATGAGGATGAGGATGAAGAAGAGGATGAGGATGAGGATGAAGAAGAGAAGAAGATGAGGAGGAAAGGAAAGAAGAAGAAGAAGAAGGAAGAAGATGATGGTGAGGAAGAAGAAGAGGATGATGGTGAGGAAGAAGAAGAGGATGATGGTGAGGAAGAAGAAGAGGATGATGGTGAGGAAGAAGAAGAGGATGATGGTGAGGAAGAAGAAGAGGATGATGGTGAGGAAGAGGATGATGGTGAGGAAGAGGATGATGGTGAGGAGAGGATGATGGTGAGGAAGAGGATGATGGTGAGGAAGAGGATGATGGTGAGGAAGAGGAAGAAGAGGAAGAGGAAGAGATGATGGTGAGGAAGAGGAAGAAGGTGAGGATGATGGTGAGGAAGAGAAGATGATGGTGAGGAAGAGGAAGAAGGTGAGGAAGATGATGGTGAGGAAGAAGAAGAGGATGATGGTGAGGAAGAGGAAGAAGGTGAGGAAGATGAGGTGAGGAAGAAGAAGAGGATGATGGTGAGGAAGAGGAAGAAGGTGAGGAAGAAGAAGAGGATGATGATGGTGAGGAAGAGGAAGAAGGTGAGGAAGATGATGGTGAGGAAGAAGAAGAGGATGATGGTGAGGAAGAGGAAGAAGGTGAGGAAGATGATGGTGAGGAAGAAGAAGAGGATGATGGTGAGGAAGAGGATGATGGTGAGGAAGAAGAAGAGGATGATGGTGAGGAAGAAGAAGAGGATGATGGTGAGGAAGAGGAGAGGAGGATGATGGTGAGGAAGAGGATGGATGAGGAAGAAGAGGATGATGGTGAGGAAGAGGAAGAGGATGATGGTGAGGAAGAGGAAGAGGATGAAGAGGAAGAGGATGATGGTGAGAGAAGAGGATGATGGTGATGGTGATGGTGAGGAAGAAGATGATGGTGAGGAAGAGGAAGAGGATGATGGTGAGGAAGAAGAAGAATTCCATTCCAGCAAAAAGTGTATCTATTTGTTTCCGAATAAAAACATCTGTATCCAAATGGAAACAAATAGATACAATGTTTCAACCGCTGTAAATGTGAAGGAACTGTCAGAGAACTGTCAGAAATAGCGGAGCTCTCTGCAGGGACACTTTTTGCCGGCTGTAGAAGGGATGAAAATCGGCCGATCGGGGAAAATTCGATTCTTGCATCCGAAGTTTGCTAATTTTCGGATTCGGCGCGAATTGAATTTTTCCTAATATTCGAAACGAATTCCACTTCGCCAAGTTCAATTCGCTCATCTCTAATTATAAACCGTCTCTTCCCAATTTAGCATCATCTTTTAGATTTCAATATAACTCTTCTTAATGATGAAACTCTGCACTGTCACTTTCAGCACTTAATTAAGAAGACAAACACCTCAGCACTACTGTTGAGCCTAGATGCAGAAAAGGCTTTTGATCACCTTAGTTGCCCATATATATGTTTGCTACCTTAGGACACTTTGTACTAAAATGACCTTTATTTAAAGCTCTGAAGACTTTGTATTCCAAGCCCCAAGTTAAGCTCCCTTATGCTATGTCAGACACTTTTGAGATGTACAATGGCACTAGGCAGGGATGCCCTTTGTTCCCTCTATTGTTTATGTGCCTTGATCCCCTAGCAGCCACAATAGGTCTTCAGGGCGACATACAGGGAGTCAATGTACATAAAAGTGAGTACAAGCTGCCACTACTTGCTGATGACATCTTGCTTACTATAACTGATAATACTCTTCCTGTTTTACGCCGATGTATTTTGTATTTTTTTGGTGCCCTCTCAGGTTATAAGATAAACAGCTCTAAAACTAAAGCTCTGCCTATCAATGTCCCAGTACATATGTTATCCAAGTTACAATCTAAAAAACATAATTGGTGCACATACTCCATTAAATATCTAGGTATACATATTACTTCAAATTACTCCTCATTATATGAGGCTAACTATCCTTCACTATTTGGCGAGATTTGTACTCTGTTGAGACAATGGAATTTTCTGGATATCTCTTTCCTTGGCTGAATTAATGTTCTTAAACTGTCTGTCATGCCTAATTTATTGTATTTATTTGAGACGTTACCCATACCAATACCCTTGACTCACCTATGGTCTTTGCAAAACTCCTTTCTCAACTTTATCTGGCACTATAGAGTACATAGGATAGCTTGTTCTGTCCTCCTCTCGCCCCCCGTCCAGGGGTGGACTGGGTGCTCCAGATTTAATTAAATATTATTTTGTTACCCATCTACGTCCTACTTTAGCTTGAACAGTTAGATGCCCACATGCTAGATGGTCTGAGATAGAGATGGATCGGATTTATTCGGCTCATCCCAGTTCCCTCCTGGGCACATATCCAGGATCTCTCAAATCGCTAAATCCTAATTTATTACTCAACTCTAAAACTTTTACCCTTAAAATTTGGCATTCCTGTAATAAAAACTTCCGCCTGATCCCACCCTGCTCCTATATTACCAATGTGTTGTACAATCCAGCTATGCCAGATGGTTTTTTCTCATTTAGTGTCAGGAATGGACTTGCCAATAGTGGTGGGACTCACATGCCTTGTGGGCTGCAGTACCAGGGCTGGCCAGCGGGTGCTCTCAACAACCAGAGGTTCACTTCGGCAATTAGCCATCACCTGGGGCTGATTGCAGGCGTATTTAAGGGATGGCCAGACCTGCAGTCTGTGCCTTGGTGTGTGTTTTTCCATGGGCCCCTGTATCTTGTAACCTGCATTCCTGTTCCTGCCTGACTTGTTGCCGACCCTGCCTGATCCTGACCTCTGCTGACTTCTCCTGTTTTGATCCCTGGCTTGTGACCCTGACCATTCTCTCCGCCTGCTCCTCCTGTACCTACCTGCCTGATAGTTATCGACCCGGCCTGCCTAACTACGTTGTGCTCTACATGTGTATGTACCTGGGTATCTGTATCAGTTTAGGTTTGGGTTTGTTTCACCTTGTTGTATGTATTTGTGTTAGCTTGGGGTTTGGTGCACTGCGTTTATGTTTGTATTGTTAGTCTTTAATAAAGCGTCTTATTTATACCATATCTGAAGCTTGCGTTTCCCTGTGTCAGTCCACACACTTCTGGTCACACCTGCATCTCTGACATTTAGATATGCTCCCATGGGTATAGGTGGGTATTTTTCAGTTATGCCACCTTATCAACCCAGTGACTCGAAGACTTTTGTCCTTTGAAGAGCTTCAGACTAGGAGAAACCTCCCCCCACTAAGGTCTTTTACGTCTACCTTCAGTTTCGACACATTTTTGCTACCTTAAGACCTTCCTTAACTCTAGAAAGTTCAGCAGTTTTTGAATCCACATGTGCCCAGGGACTTAAACAGTTGCATCTTATCTCTAATCTCTATAAAATATTAATAGAAGCATCCTCCTTTACAGCAGTTACTCATAAATATATACAGAAATGTTTAGCCTTTGATCGATTTATCCCCTTGATTTGCTGGAAAAAGATTTGGGATATGGCTACTAAATCTTCAAGATGTGTCTGCCATAAGGAAACCATTTATAATGTTTTAATGTACTGGTACAGAACTAGTCTTTTACATTTGACTAATGAGAAGGTGCCAAAAGTTTGTTGGAGATGTAAAAGAGACATAGGTACCTTGGCCCATATTCTTTGGTTTTTCCCCCTTATACAGACCTATTGGTCCATAGTGCAGCAAGTTTTGGAGAATGTTTTAGATACTTCTCTTGCCCTAGACCAGGGGTAGGCAACCTGTGGTTCTCTAGCTGTTGTGGAACTACATTTCCCATGAGGCATTGCAATATTACAAAACTGACAGTTACAGCTATGACTTTCAGAGGCATGATGAAACTTGTAGTCCTGCAACAGCTGGAGAGCCGCAGGTTGCCTACCCCTGCCCTAGACTGACTTAATTATATTTTATGCCTACCTATACTAGGCATAACTAAGGGTGCTAAATGACTTATTGCTCATATTCTCACGGCAGCCAGGAGACAAATTCCTTGCCATTGGAGAACTCCCAGAGTTCCAATTAGCATATAATTTATTTCTGCTGTAGCAGAGGTCAGGAAGCTGGAATACCTAACGGCTAACGAATCCCTTGACACTTTTCACAGAATATGGAACTTCTGAGAGAACTCACCTTATGGGTTACCTCACTCTTCCATTACAATCCCTTAATGCTATTTGCTAACTAAAATTTGGGTGCATAGTCAAAGTTACACAACCTGTTACATGATTTGCTTACATTTTGAAATATATTTTGGACCAAGTAATGGGCAAGGTTTATGTCGACTTATTTTTCGATGACTGTTCCTTCTTATTTCTTTTGCATGGTTCTCTTTCTTTCCTTTTTTTTAAGTTTATATTGTACGTACGTGTAAGCACATTATTTCTTGTGATTATGTTTATATATTATGGGTTTACAGGCATGTTTATATAACACCGTTCTATGGTCCGACAATTCCCCACCTCTAATAAGATACTTTATCCTTCCTAGATGCAGTATTTCTATTTTTGTATCTGTTAAAACTGTTTGCATGAACAGGAATGTGTTGAACTCTATGGGACCTGCTTGTGTTCTCTTCTTTATTCACCCATGCCATTTGTAAAACCATTCACTAATATATGCTTCTGTATTGTATTTGGTTCTTCTTTCTCTTCTTGTTGTAAACTTTAATAAAAATTACAATTATACAAAAAATTTACATTTGTCACTGTTGCACGAGCATGCGCAGTTTTAAACCGTGACATGTTTGGTATCTATTTACTCGTCTTTTATACTTTACAAAAAATGTTATGTATGTATGTTTTTATATAAAATTAAAAAAGTTTTTTTTTTTCCAAACAATTGCATTTGGAAAATTGCTGCACAAATACCATGTGACATAAAAAATGAGAAAAACACCAATTTATTCTTTAGGGCTTCTGTTTTTTAAAAATATATCATGTTTAGGGTTCCTAAGATATTTTCTAGCAAAAAAACCTCCTAAATTTAAAATGTAAACAAAAAGTGCCAAAAATGGCTTAGGACTGAAAATCACTAGACTGTGTTTTGCAGATTACTGTTTGCTTTATCGAGAAGAAGTCATTATTGTCACAAGTATCTGCATACTGTATAAACCCATTGCACAGAGTGGTTACTGTTTTCTTGGTTGCTTATTAAATATTTGTTTTCCAACTTTAATATGCAATGCTTTTATTTTATTACAGGAAATGGCATTTCTCCATACTGGCAGTCCTTGAATGACAAATAGAGAATGTCTTGATAGAAGAGATTTTCCAGACATGAGGTTAGCAGCATTCAGCAAGAAACCGAACCTGCCTTTTGAGAAGCTTTACTGCCTTAAATAAACAAGGGAAATGCATGAGTAAGTATTAAATCTTGTATTTATGAAACCTGCTAAATAGTCACCAGGAGTGAGCATTATGGTTTGCAATTAGCAATGTGCACATTAGAAATTATTATGAGTGTTTGGTCTTCTCTGACAAGTTTTGAGCTATTCTCATTGGAAGTGCAGCCAGCTGCTCAGTGGTCAGAATAATTACTTGTACAATCTAATTATTTGGCTGGTAAAGGAGTTGAAGAAGGCAATACAGGTCCAGATAACAGGGCCCGATGAAAATTGAGTTTCACAGTCATTCATCAATGTCACATTCTGGATATGTCTTCTGCCTGTTCTCCGGTAGATACCTCCTGCTAAGTGGCCACATGTAAGAAGCAGCATTTATGTTTTATGGCACCTACATTATTATTATTA